TGTGGAGCCATGTCACTGGCCCGTGGGACTTCTCACAAGCCTGGAAATTTGGCAGTGGTGAAGTGTTAGCAACATTATTTGCTTCCAGAGTTGTGGCAATTAATGCTACCATGATACCCCCACTGCCAAATTTCCAGATTGCCCCAGTGCACTGGGTTGTACCTGCAGACTGACCCTACAGGCAGATCCTGTGCTGGATCCAGCCTGTGGACCAACCCCGCACTACTCATCTGGCACACAGGGCTGGATAAGTTGAGCGCTGCTAGGTTGAGCCTAAATTTCTTCCCCTGTATTTGCTTATACCATCACAGCTAGTCCTTTTGTGCTGTGTCTTTTAAACATAGTTATACTAGTCTCCATTTACTGGATTTCCTCAAATCTACGATGAGTAATGGCAAATGGAGGCCCCTCATTTAAAATTCACAGAGTGGATAGGAGTGCAGAGGGGCCAGAGTCAGATCCACAGCAACTGCTTACCTCCTGCTTCATTTGCCCTGTGCAGCTTTTGCCTCCCCCCTTTCCTCCTGCTTTCCTCCTTTCCACACCCCTCTCCCCCTTACTGTCAGGCACAGTTTGGTTCTGGCTCAGGCTGGAGTCTCTCCCATGCACAGAGTCCAGGGAAACTGTGGCCAGTCAACAGTGCGGTCACTGCTGCATGGCCTGGCAAGGGCTGCACTTCAAAGGCTAGGGACAGAAATTACACATAAACTAATATAGATAATCAGAAACTGGCTTGAATCTGCAATCTAAGAGAAGTTCAGTGCACATAAACCATTTTCCAAATGGCCGAAACTGATTTAAGATAAATCTGGATGGATGTAGTATCAGACTTAACTGACTTAGGATAAATCAGTTTATTGAACTTCTGTCCCATATCCCTTCCAAATTCAAGTTAGCTCACAGTCCCCCGGCATCCCAGGATGCTTTGCACCTCCCCTGCAAAACCTCTCTTGCAGGGTGGGTGGGCTAGCCTTGGCCCAAGCTGTCTGCTCCAGCAGAGCAGGGAGGTGTGCTCTAGTGCCCCCCCATCTTCTGGTCTGGGCTATTTCTGGAATGTGGATGCATTTCTGGAATCAAAAGGGAATGTCTGTTCACTTGCTTATTGGTTCAATCTACGTAGCTTAGACTAACCTGCAAAGATTGAATTGATTCAGCCTCTGGCTTTTTGACTGTCTGTACTTAGACCAAGTGCTGTGTTTCAGGGAGGAAATATAGCTTGAGCAGCATCTTACTGTAATGGGGTGGGACGGGTGAGAATTCAGGTTGTTAATAGAAGAAAACATCACCC